ATTTATCCTTAGAATAGGCCTAGAACATTTCTTTTTCTCATTACACAAACTGCAAAGTGAAGCATGGGAAATACGAAACGAAATGTGGGAAATGGAGGAGTTTGCCCAAGGTAACAGGTGACAGCACCAAAGCAGGAATTTCAATGGGCTTCTACAGACACATGAGCAACTTCTATATGCTGGCATACAACACTGTTCCAATTTATCCAGCTTGAAGAGAAGCAGTGAACACCTGGGAGCAAACACTTGAAAACTGTCCTAGCCAATGCTACTTTTGGTAACTTGGTTAACTATGAAACATTGTTAAGATGTAATCTATTTTGTTTACTTTCAATTCTCTCACTTTATAAAGTATATATAAAAAAAAGCTTTTGCGTACCTCCTTCCCTAAAAACAAGATTAAGGAAGGCTTTTCAAATACAGGGAGCAGGGATGGTAATTGTTTCTTAAACACTACCATGCTGTAACACTTAATTGCAAGCACTGCAGGAACATAGTTTCTTCTTTAAGTTTCTCGGAAGCAGTCTCACTAGTCTTAAGTTTAAAAGCTTTGCTAAACGAAATAAAGTCACATGCATTTTCAAGAGCAATCCAATTCTTTGCTTTCCTCTCTCTTGAGAGAATTTTAAAATTATTAATTGGAGAGTGCTAATTAGTAATAGTGTGTTAAGACAATCTTTATTTTTGTTGTTTGAAAGTTCAGTTTAAAGATGAAAAAGTAGGAAACTTCTCTGCTGTTGGCAGCCAAGAAGTTTAATGATCTGTGTAAAACTACATGGGTTCATTAATGGATTAATTATGGATTAATGGATTCATTAATCTCATTTGTAAATAACTGGGAAAAATACGTTTACAGTAGGAGAAAGGGGCAAGCTGCACAGGCTTTTTTTTTTTTGTTGCTACCAAGATAAATACTTTATTTTAAAGCAACAAATACTAACCGATTAAAACAAACACTCCCCATACCCCCCGACACCGCACCCCTACCCCTCTTGGTACTACAGAGGTACTGACACCTTCTGGCAGTGGGTGAGGTGCCCAGTCAACTGGTAAACTACTATTATTTCCAGAAGCTCTGTCACTCGAGGGTTTCATATCGAATTCTGCTACGTACCAACAGAAATAGGTAATGATGAAAGGTAATAATTTTGGAAAAAACAATAATATAATCAAATTCAATTAGTATAAGCTTAGAAGTACCACAGTCACTCCCTTGATTTGAGGTAGCTACAAGATAAATGTCGTTGAACTGACTTCCTTTCATACAGCAGATAAAAACACAAGCCAATGGACGAAAGACAAGCTAGACTCAAAAAACTAAAAAACAAATCCATCAATTGAGTGCTTGTGCTATTATAAGTGTTGTAATGGTTTCTCCTTCATTGCAAGCACTTAAACAGGATGTGTTCTAAAAGCCAAACTCTGGTGCTCCCTGAGACACTGGACTTGAAATCAGCTTAACAAAATCCTAAATTCCTGTTTGATGCAGGCTGTAGAGTAGTTCATATTAACTTCTGTTGTTTTTGAAGTAATGGAAAGAATAAAACTTCTAATTTCCCGAACTTGGTCTTGTCTATATACATTGGTACACTGTATCTCAAACATTTAGAGTGCCTCACTCCAGGTCATACGTACATTTGGAACACTAAACACAGGTATTTCAAAGCCCTTAAAGAATCTTTTCCAAAACAGGACCCACACAGGTATATGCCATGTTCCAAATCCATAATTTTACATCTGTTAAGTAAGATTTTGCTTGGAGCACAGGAGTCTCTGGAGAATGAGAGCTATTGGAACAGAAACTAATCTTTGACACAGGACAAGTTTCCCTGACAAGCATTTTTGTCCTACTGACCTAATGTTTCCTACAGTCTCCTACATGAAGGAAAAAAACATGTAGTCTCACTTTCCACAGAGAAGTGCTCTCAGATAGTGCATTTTGGGGTGCATAAGCTGAATTCAGCAATGAAAACAAAGAAGAAGGTCCTACTCCAAATGGGGCAGTAACTCATTCACTGCAGAACATTATTCTGCAGTTTAAAGTGAACCTGAAAATTTAATTTTTAGATGTGATCACAGATGATAAAAATATCATAATGGAAGTAATTTGGATGCAGCATATACAAAATATCAGATTTTAAACAGATAGAATGGTATATTTTATTGTATTATATAAGCTATGTAGGGCACAGTAGAAGTGTGACTTTCTTAGGAAGCCATTAATTATACCTCGAATTCATTTATGTTCTTTGTAAAATCTTACAAAATTCACTCTGTGCCTAGAATATGCATTCTGTAGACACAAAGTGGATATAAAAAGTTTTAAAATACATGCCTTAGGCATGAAACTCCTCAGTCTCCACTAGAATATTCTTGAATTGAGAAGACTGCTATCTAGGATTTGTAATATTAAGAAAAATACCTATTTAATATGTCTCTGGCAGTAGTACCAGAATACCCCTTGAAGGAGCCAAACTTTAAATGTGGACATATATCTGCATACCACTATAGTCATTACTGTAGGATAGCCACCTCCTGTTGCAAGTATTCTCAAACCTTTTCTGATTTCCAACACCCCCTCTGGTTTTTATTAATCCCCTTTGTTGTTTTTCCTTTCATGCTAAATTCTGTCATAGCATTTTTCCTCAACTCATCCCTGTCACCCTAAAGTTTTCAGTATTTTTCATGTGCAGAATTCATTCTATTTCTGTCACAGAGCATCTGTAGACACAGCATCTGTAGAGTCAGTCTCTGTCTTGTACTCCCTGATGGCTCTATTCTAGGTATTCAAAAGGCTTTATGCTATGGGAGCTATTCTGTGGATACGGAAGCTGGTTTAACTTTCCAAATACCACGAAAAAGGTAGATTATCAAGAGTACTTTCTGATATTCTCAGTAAGATGTGGTTTTGCTATCTATAATTCCTAAGATGTGTCATCATTATTTTTCAATAGAGGCTTGAAGCCTGCTATTTGTGATGGTTGTTTTTCAAGGGTACTTAAAACTTTTTTGTACTCAAGTGAGAAATAGTAATTCATCAGTAGCTTATCCTATAATTGTACAGAACTTTTTACCTAGCAGATTTAGGGAGTGTTTTTAGTCTTGGCTTCCTTCCCCACATTTTCTCACTCTCCAGTCCTCTTGCTACCAGTCCTCTTGCTACCTCTTCCTTAACTTTGCTATTGAAACCATATTGCCTAGTTCTGCATTACCTACAGAGCTGGCATAAATATTCAGGTACCTGTCATTTCACTGCCAAACTGAAAGGCATGTAATAACATGAGAAGGCCATAGGACCAACAAGTATATTCATTTCTAGACTGTCACAACCAAACCTTGGGTTGCTACATTCACATTCAGGCCTGTTATCAGAATAAAATGGCCTCTATTGTTCAGAAAGGAATTTCACCTTTTTTCTTCCCTCCTATGCTGATAATTTTAATTTCGTACCTTATCATTTCTAGACCAAAGAATTGTCTCTCGAATTCACCACCTCATAATTTTAACATTTTTGTTACCAACAAAATCGACACTATTTGGTACATAAAATCTGAATACCCTGCACTTCTAGTACTTCATAAAGAGTTCATCAAGAATATATGAAAAATGCTGTGGGGGTTTGACCCCAAAAATCCAATCTCCAAGCTCCCCCACAATTTACCTCAACACTGAAGAGAAGTTTTTAGGCAGGCACACCTCAGCTCCAATTGGCTCCTCACCGGAAACTCAGCTGGGACTTCCAGCCCCCCTGGGGGCAGCTCAACCCATGACAAATGCCACAGTAATGCAAATTCTCTTAAAATACTATCATTTAAATGTTTTTACAATCTATTTGCAAAGCCTTATGTTCTTTCAATATTCTTCAGTCCTATAAAAATGACTATAACTACTGTATTGATTTGTGTGACACGGAACATGTGCTTAACACCAACTGTTGTAATTAGAATGGAAAGATTTAAGTAGAAAGATTCAGTTGAATTTGGACAAGTGTCTTACCTATCATTAAAAACCATTACTTGATTTCAATGATCATGATTCATATTAATTCTGTGATACTGAATATTTATAGTTCACATGACCATTCTGATGAAGGAATGGCCAGTCAGCACTTTCAAAAGTGAAGCTTAATTAAACCACCAGTTTTTCTGGGCCAGGTTCATGCCTTTAATAGGGTATAGCAAGGCCGTTCATTTTGTAAAAGTACCTTGAAGTCCTGCTGATAAAATAATCTATTAGTTATAGAAAGTAAAAAAGTGTTTTTAGTATTTTATATTAGATTAAAAAGCAAACAACACACAAAGACATATGCCTCCAAGTTGCCATCTGCTTTCATTTCCTCCTAGTCATTTCTTGTTTTTCAACTACTCAACTTTCAAATGCCTGCGTTTTTAAAAATCACCAAACTCTCCCTGTTTCAAGATTTTTCTTTTTTTTCTTTTTTTTTTTTGTGGTAAGTTTTATTTAATCTTCCCTATGCCATTATAACCTGTAATTTCTCCTATTTTGATAGTGACTAATTTTTACTACAGAATATTACCCTAGCCTATTTAAGTCAAGAACAAAGTTGTATATCTCTTCTTGTACCTTTCATAGAGCAAACACCAACCCAAGAACTCCACATTAAAAGTATAAAACTTACATGCTATTATATGCTTACATGTATTACATATTTACTCATAATGTAACAGATGCCTTTATTCCTAAAAAGAATCCCTTGTAATGTCAAGTCAGTACCCAAGACCTCCAAAGCGCATAGAAACTATACAGTATTTTTAAGAAATCTACTTTAAGATCATACAATGTAGCTTGCATGTAAGATATTTCCTTAAAACTACCTGTCCTGGAAAATACATGAGTAGTTTGTCTCTTATGATGATCCACTAAAGCAGGAACAAGTGGCCCTTAGACTGAAGAAGCAGGAAACGGGCAAGAATGCACTGTACAAAATAATGTTGCAACTCCCACACTGATAAATAAACAACGAATGAAAACAAATTATATTTAATGTTTTCCCTTAAAGACTCATTTTGTAATTTTTATTATATTTTAGGAACACAAAAATTCATTCTCGGCAGTAGTTCCGTGACTGGGAACACAGAAACATTTATGCCTGGCCTACATTTGTAACGTCATACCAGAGATAATTATCACTGAAGATCAAGCCCTGCTTCAGGACTAGGGATTTTCTAGTGATGCACAAACAAGAGAAAGCCTATCCTAGAGCATCATTACTTCAATTCCTTATATCCCACTCCTTCAACACCACTGTACAAATAAGAGGGCTGAACTCACATAGCCTACTCTTTTAAGCAGCTTCTTTGTAACGTAATGCAGCTGGCCACCTTAGTTTCATAGATGCAAATTCTCTTAAAGAGAAAAAAGTACATTGCAACTAAAAAAAACCCTGCCCCTCAGAGACCAATTTCAAACTCTAAGTTCTCACTAAAAACTCAAAGGTGAAGGGAAAGTATTATCTCAGGAATGGCAAGGATACATTTCACAGGCTGAGATATCTTTTTATACCTTTACATTGAACTCAAATCCTGATTTTAAAGGTAGAAATCTGAAATCCCATCATACTATTTTGTGGTAATTCAGTCAAACATAGCAAGGACCTTAGTCTCTGGATTCTTTCCCTTTAGTTTAACACTGAAGCTTGGCCAGTTGTGATGACAATGCTATCTTGTAACCCTCGCTCTAACAACCGGCATTTTGGGTGTCTTGTCATTGTAGAAGAATACAAATGTGGAACAAGCAGGTAAAACAGAGGAACACACTATACCTTTCTGGATATCATTCTATTAATGTGAGAATTTGAGGAGCTAATATTTGCAATATTCCTTTCTGCAGTCCTCAAGTTATTCCCACTAACAACATGACTGTATCAAACAGAAAGGTAACTGTTGAGAGAGCAAATCTTACCTTATAGGGAAAAAATAGTTATCAGTGCTAGAAGTATATTGCAGACTTTTATGGACACTGAAGAGCAGTTTTAAACCTGTCTTGAAGCCAGATTAGGCTCAAAAGGAAAGAAGGAAGAGGCAAAAAATGAGTAATTATTAACAATTAGGACATAGACTTGTTTTGCTGCTGTTGTGCAAAGGCAAAACCTTTCTACAATAGCTATTGCAGAAACTTGGATTGCACATGTGACCTACATAAAATGCCCAGGGACAACAGAGAGAAAATGTTTGGACAAAAATTTGACAAGGGGACTCTGAATAAGAGAACACAGGAATCTGAATTATTTTATTCCAGTCAATATAGAACTGTACCTTTCAATTCACGCTTTTGTAGAGATGATAAATCAATAGTCAGACTAAAACATATAGCTGGTTTTCAAAGCAACTTTTCCATATTGATGAAATATCCAGTAGGTAAATTTTGACAATGATTAAAAATCTATCCCATTGTGAAGAGCATGCAGTTCATTGGAATATAGCTCTCTGAACATGACTATGTTCCAGGTGATTAAAGATTTCCTCTTCTGTTTCTGGAGTGAGCTGTATATTATCTTTGATTGGAGATAAAGGATCTGACTTTCTACAAGAAGGCAGTTTTTTGTACTCTCTGCACAAAAAAAACAAAGACAAAATAAAACCCAAGAATGCAATGATGTTTTATATTTCTAACCACAGGCCAGTAAGAACATATGGTTTAAAACAAAACAAGACCCCTAACTCCCCCCTCATCTATGAATAAATACAAAATAAAAATTCGTCATGCAAAGTTTTAATTTCAGTTTCAGTACAACTGATCAACTTTACTGAGTGTGACAGAATGATAGCTGTTAGCTTTATTTCTGAAAGACTGTATGTACCCCATCCTACTCTGGGTTGTACATGCTTTCTGAACATTTAAGTCTTCTGAAAAAATGTAGTTTTTTATATATCCCATGAGTCTTGACATTAAGACAGAACAGATTCAGTGCCCCACATGATTTATTTGCCATCAGGTAACATAATTGTTAAAACATAAGGCTAATTTAGATACATTTTAAAATCTGAAAAAATAAAGAGAATACTCAAAGTCAGTCCTGGCAGTAAAAAAGCCCTTTTTGTGAAATGTATTAAGAAAAGAATCACATAAAAGCTAATAAACAAGTACTTTACGTACACAGAAATAAGTAATACAAAAATATATATCCCCATTATAAACACCCAGAAGTTACAAACCAAAACTGAATGGATAAAATGCATATGTTGGGAGACTCATCTTGCAACCATTGGCAGAGAAAAGGAACAGAGTCCCACCTAGGCTCACTCTTCTATCTGCCTGTATCCCAAAAAAATCAAAATATCTGAATTTTCTCCCTGTGAACAACCCTGGGACGACATTTACAATTACAGGTGAAGCAATACATACACAAACACCTTAATTTCCTCCTTGAAACTGTAATTCTTATCCTGCATCAAGAGGGTAATATTTATAAAAATGTAAATACCACAAGTAATATTTTTTTAAACAAAAATAACTTGTATGTTTATAATAACCTACCCTAAGGCCTAAACTTACTAAAATGCATTCATCTGACTTAACACATTGCTCAGCAGTACCATTATTAACCACTCAGTGAAAAAAATACTTTTATCCTACTCACATTTGGTTTTGGACTAGCAAAAATAATAATTTGACTTAAATAAGACTTATTTATTTAAGAGATTGCTACTTTGAGCTGGTAAAACTTTGCCACCAAGAGTTTTTACCTTAGCCCATGGAAACAGTGTAAGTTAGAATACCTACACTTCAGGTTTTGTTTTACTTTTTTAAAATAATCATTGCCCTTCAAGTTCAAACCTTGAAGATACTTGCAGAAACTTCAAGTTAGACAAGCCATCTGCACAAGGAAAAGCAATAGCATTTTATAATGTGCAAAAAGATCTCTTCCAATCACAGACTTCCGCTAACAGAAATATTTCATCAAGTCACAGTCATCTTGAAAGCAGAACACTTCTGACAATCAGCCATCTCCAAATGTGAGGGGCACAGAGTTAAACAGAAGCAACCTTGTATTCAATTAAATTTAATAATTTCTATGCAGCTTTTGCATTTAGATTAAGAAGTGACCTTTGGTGTTTGATGTCAAACAATGACAATGATTTTCATACCAATTATGTTAAACTAAATGCCCTAATCAATAAAATTCAACAAATTAATTTTAGCTGAGAGTTTTTCCTGATTAGAAAAAGTAATTTTAAGATATTTACCAAAAGTCATGCTTCACGTTTATATCAAGCTTAGAAAATTATAAATTATATGTAGAAAACATCTATTTTGAGCTATTATCTTTATTGAACTGTATGGAGATATGTAGGGTCTGCTTTGAAAATTGTTTATTTGGAAAAACAGTACACAGGGTACAAAGTAAAGGCTTAAAGCAACTCACCTTTTAAATTGGAAGCTTTTCCAGAGTTCACTAACAGTAACTTGCAGTCCCAGCTTATTTTCAGCATCACAGTCACTTCTCTTCTGCACAGGTGACAGTTTCCTGCTTAATCCACTTACTTTAGCTGGTACCCATGGTTTGAGCTTCGTTACAATACGTGATCTTGTACTAATGGATTTACGTAAACCAGGAACCTGTGAGATTTTAATATTGCAGCACACACAGTTAAAATGAAAACCTGTAAGCAACAAATACCATACTGCAAAACTTATAATCAAAAAATAAAGTGCTTTACATTGTGTCAAGATAATGCAATATGAATTGCCACAACAAGGTATATTTAGATAGCTTCCTATAATCTAAAAAGTGGTATCTCAAACACATTAAACATAATGTGCTGTAAGAACTGGCAAACCAGTTTCCATAGGTCTTTGTATTCTAAAAGGTTGCAAAGATATGTTTCTTTGAAAGAAGACGCAGTGAGTGTCTGCAGTTCTAAGAACTAACTATTTTACAGTTGGCTACATAAGATTAGTTAAGGACACCTAGGTTGTAAATAATGCTCTTATTTCCCATTTGGATAATATTAAGAATAAAGTGTTTTGCTAAAAATAAATAATCTTTTCCATTTTGCTGGATCATCTTTAGAAAATGGCACAGGTCTGCCTACTTCAGGTGCTTCACTAACTAATGCAAATAGCTCTTTCCTCATCCAAGTATTTGCTATTGACTACCTAACACTTTTGTATTTTAAAATAAAATATTGGCAGCCTTTTCTTCAAAGACAACTTGTAGCTTTGTTCTTTCCAAAATGACAGTGTATTTTGCCTCCCCCCACAACTTGTTACATAATTTTATGCACCTGGAATACTGCCTTCAGTTTTGTGCCCCTCCCTACAAGAAGGATATTGAGGTGTGCAGAGGAGGCCAATGGAGCTGGTGAAGGGTGTGGAACACAAGTCTTATGAGGAGCAGCTTAGGGAGCTGGGGTTGCTTAGCCTGGAGAAAAGGAGGCTCAGGGGAGACTTTACCAGTCTCTACAACTACCTGAAAGGAGATTGTAGCCTGGTGGGGGCTAGTCTCTTCTCCCAGGTAACAAGTGACAGGACAAAAGGAAATGGCCTCAAGTTGCACCAGGGGAGGTTTACATTGGATGTTACGAAAAATTTTTTCACAGAAAGGGTTGTAAAGCATTGAACAGACTGCCCAGGGAAGTGGTAGAATCATCATCCCTGGAGGTGTTCAAAAATCGTGTAGATATGGCACTTCTGGATGTGGTTCAATGGTGAGCATGGCAGTGCTGGGCTGACAGCTAACTGTAAGGATTCTATTATTGAAATTACATTGTTTCTACCTGTTTCTACCACACAGATCTTGGTATTCCAAGGGGGAAAAAAGTGTTTAAACTTTAGACTAAAAATTGGAACAAGAATACTAGGAAAAATAAAAATAAAATCCTAAAACTCCCTGCTTGATAGTATTTTGCCATTTATCTATCACCTCAGCCATTTTGCAACATGTGTGAATTCACCATAATCCTACATTATCTCTGTAGTACTGAATTACATCAGAGTTATAACTTAATTTAGCTACCCCAAAATTAGGCAAAGCTGCATGCTGAACACCCGCTAAGAAACTTAAAGCCGGAGCAGAACACTCTTTTCTATTGTCAATATTAGCGTCTTTGCTGAGCTCACAGCAATTGTAAAAATCAATTAGCAATAAAAACCACAGCTGAAATACTATCACAGAAAAAAAACATGAAGTCTTAGGGAGTTCAGTATTTTATAGGTATTTGTTAGTAAAAAGCTTCTATTAGTTTTGATATTAGAATGGAGTAGGTAGGCACTTCACATTTTGGATTGGAACCACAATACGAGCTGACAAATTTCTCAGACTGCCTCCCCAGTTATTAAATTTCTCTATAGATCAGTTACATAGCTGATATTCAGCTTACCAAAATCAGAATTACACTTTAAGTGATTAACTGCTTCTTCCCTAAATCTGGAACTCATTATTCCCTTTTATAGCTATCTTCCACTATACTTAACACCAGCAAACACTTCTCTTGTTTTACCTTTGCAGTAAACAAACCTAAAAGAAAACTGAGCCAAAAGTGGTTCTCCTTATCTCTACCTTCCCTCTCCTATGGTCCTACTGGTGCTACAACTCAGAGGAATCCAAGAGTCTGGGTGGGTCCAAGTTCCAATATGATTGACCTATTGATTATTGCAGTCAAGTTAAGTTTTTGGCCATGCCAGTTTTCTGGTGCAATTCTTTATAAATCTTATGACGAGCACATAAAGGAAGCAGAGAGAATGCACAGCCAAGGAAATAACTTGGAGAAATCCTCCTACTAGCTGCTTGCTTTACACAAACCCTACTATCCTCACAGATTTTCAGCAGTTTTTCTATTATCTGAAGGGCTCCAAGCATGCTGAAATTTTGTTTTTACATGATGCTTATATTACCTCAGTACTTCCATAATGTGTATTCCCCAATATTCTCCCAATATAACTTTTACAAGAGCAGAACAAAGTAAAACATTAAATATAGCCTCAAAAACAAAGTAATAAAATTCTGAATCCCAGGATGATTTCATTGCTCAGTCTTATTGAGGAGGAAAACGTTAATATTGCAGAATAAAAATGTAAATTTCATCTTAATGAATAAGTTCCTAACAATAACCACAAGATGTCACTATTTTACAAAACACAATATTTTTGTTTGGCACAGACGCTTCTGATTTTTAGCCTGTTTATGAAAAAGAAGTCAGTTAGGCTATGCATGAAAGGATGAAAACATCTTCCTCTGGCTTTATCTTTTGGCCAATTCTAATGACACCACATAAGGAGTCAGAGCACTTTTAGCTGTTAAAGTCTTAGAAGTTTTACAAAATAGACAAATATGTAAAGCTCTTAGAAATGTCACAAAGACAAGGAACATAAGTTTATTCTAACTAAGGTTTTTTATTCTAACTAAGGTTTTTTTCCTTAGCTTGGCTTTTTATTTTATATTGAAGTGTTTGAAATCCCCAAACAAATTGCAACTGTTATCAACCATAGGTAGCCTGGTTATATTTCATCTCAGCTTCAATGTAGAAGAATAAGAACACAGTTTTGTCTTGCCAACATTTGCATTGTTTAAGTCTTTCATTGAGAGTTCCACAAGGAACTAGAAGAAAGCAAAAACTGATTTTCAGATTTTAGTAAAGCTCATAAAGTTAAAAGAACTCTTACCTTAGTTTTCATGATTGTATTTTTTTTGTCAGTTCGAACAGCAGAAAATAGCAGAGACAGAGTAGGTTTATCATCAGCCAGTTTTGAATTGGAGTCAGATTCCTTCAGGAGAAAATTGATTTGGTTTTAAAACAGGTTGGGGTTTGTTTTTGCAAACACAATGTATATTTTCGTATCTACAGCTATATACTTTAAAAGACAACCTTTTCAGTAGTTCTAAGAACCTATACAAACACCTGGGCTTACTTTTAGCAAACAACACCAGACACATATATATATATACACACTTTCTGAAAGGACTTCAGGGACTAACAAAAGCAGAGAACAAAAGCTTGCCTACCAGGGTTTTTTATGACCCAGTGTAGAAACAGCAGCAGAAAGACTGAAGACAAACTAAAACCAGACTTTATTCAAGCTAGTATGTCAATGCATATTATATTACAATTATTTTAAGCATTGACAGGAATGAAATATAATCATTCTATTATTCTATTTAGAAACAAGTTTTGTTAGCACAAGCTACATTGTCTGTAGGCCATCACTCTGAAGAGAAGACTTCATTGCATAATTTCTTTTATAATTTAAAGTGAAAACAAATGCTAAAACAAATGTCTAATTTTCTTACCTTTGCATCTGAACTGTTGTTGGACATTTGTAATATTTCTGAAGACTCCAAACTAGATTCTGATGGTTCACAGGACTCATGAGATTGTGATGACTGTTCCAGTTCTATTAAGGGGGAGGATTCTTCCTCCAATTCATCACACACTGCCTCATTCTCTGTTTGAATCCCATTAATCTGATCTTCCTGGGATACAACACAATTGTTTCTCTCTCTGTGAAACTGCTGTGAAAATACAGTATGAGATGGACCAGGGTTTCCTGAATTACTTACGAGGCTGCTAAACCACTGGAAACAACTTTTCGGCATTTCTCCGGGAGGTGTAAAGACAGTCCTGGCTGATTTTTCAGTTTCTGAAAACTGAGAGACATCTTCTGCTACATATTTTATTTCCTGTTTCTGGCAATCCTGCTCAGTATCTTGAGTTAGATCATTATCATCATCCTTCTTTGCTCTACTGTCAAACATAATTGCATCGCTGCAGAAAAACCTAAAAAAGAAACAAAAAAGTAGAAGCAGGGGAGAAGAAAGGTACTGCACATGTATGCATTCTCCAAAATCCAACAGCTGTCTCTATCCATCAATTTTATTTTCAAGGTATATTTGCAGACAAATTATTTTGACAATGGGCAAAGTCCTTCAGGGAGGCATTTAACAAATAACAGTAAAAAAGGGGAGGGAAAAAGCATCTGTAAACATGTCATTCATTGACTGAAATACTAATAAGGTTCTTCACCAGAAAGCAAAACATACAGGAATCCTACAAAATTTAAGAATATATTAATTAATTATCATAAAGCTAAGCAGTAGTGAAATACTTCAGGCACCTCTTATCAAGGAAACTAGAACCTTACTACTTCTCTTCCATGCTATAGCAGCAGCTCCTAAGAGTACTAAGCACTGATTTAGAGAAGAACCTATCATCACTGACAACTCAATATTTGATATAACATAACAAAACTTTCAGTTCAGGAAGGTGTGCCTTAAAACAAAAGAACATCAGTATTAAGACTGCTCTGTAAAATTACACTGCTCTAAAATATTCAAAGTATTTAAGATAATAATCACACAATAATAGACTTAATGGTGATAAAGTTTTATAAAACAAATTCAAGTAGCTGTGGCCAAATGCAACTAAATGACAAAAACACAAAACCAAACAAAAACCCCCCAAAAACAAAAAAAAAACCACCCAACCAGAAACTCTAACAAACACAAAGTCCCTCTTCTCAAAGTGCTGGTGCAGAGATCAGCAGTATCAACTGAATGGTATAAGAATAGGTATTTGTCATACAATATGACCAGTTTGAATTTACCAAAACAAAAAGCTCTATCAACTTCAGTCAATGTATTGACTAACTGCTTACACATCTGGCAAAAAGCAGCTACCTTTTTTTTTTTTTTTTTGAGATATGTCATATAACCTTTACCTGGGAAAAAAATGCCCAGAAGTATTGAATATTATACTGAGAGACTATAAGTAGATCACAAGGCTGGAGCATCTCTCCTATGAGAACAGGCTGAGGGAGTTGGGGTTGTTCTGTTTGGAGAAGAAAAGGCTTCAGGGAGACCTTATAGCACCTTCCAGTACCTACAGGGTAGCCTACAAAAGAGCTGGAGAGGGACTTTTCACAAGGGCATGTAGTGACAGGACAAGGGTAATGGCTTCAAACTGAAAGAAGGCAGGTTTAGATTAGATATTAGGAAGAAATTCTCCACTATGAGTGTAGTGAGGCACTGGAAGAAGTTCCCCAGAGAAGCTGTGGATGCCCCATCCCTGGCAGTGTTCAAGAACAGGTTGGATATCATTCTGAGCAACCTGGTCTATGAAAGGTATCCCTGCCCATGGTAGGGGGATGGAACTAGATGATCTTTAAGGTCCATTCCAACCCAAACCATTCCATGATTCTATGACTCTGCGAACAGTCTCAGTCTTTACTTCCGCAGTAAAAAATTAACATTATCTGTCTCACAGATAGACAGCCTGCCTAGCACAGAGGATCCTCCATCTTGGCTCAGGTGCATGAAATTCCAAAAAAAAGTCTGAGGTAGCATTTTGTTTAGTATTCAGGTTATTTCAGCAACCAGGACGGCAAATAGTATTTTGCTACTTATTAAAACATATGACATAAGCATACCTGCTTCTTGTTCCTGGAACAATTACAGCATCCTTGTCTTTGTTTTTCCTTTGTAAAAAGGAAGCAAATTTATTTCTAACTTTGGGCAGGGAGTTAGAGCTTTCTTGAGTGAGAGAACTTCCTGAAGAATCAAGGCTTTGTATTGCTGAGACACTCTTCTGTGCTTGACCCTCATGATCATCCTCCTTCTTGACTCTTTTTGCTTTTGTAGATGAATATTGCTTCAACAGATCTCCATCTGAGACTTCTTCCAAATCTAGGCAATTTAAACATTATTGTAGAAGCACAATACCACAATTAACCAGTGATGAAAAAACTAAGTTTTACATATTAAAAATATTGGTAAGGTCTAGTAGGAACATTATTGACATTACAGATAAAAAGTTTAAAACATTGTTTTCTAGTATATAGCCTTAAAAATAATTTTTTGCAGATGGAGTGAAGACAGAACAACTAAAATGAAACATAATATTTGCTTTGGATATGGTGTGGTTTTTTTTTTTTTAATGCTTTGAAAGCAAAACTAAATTTGATTTAAAGACAGGTTGCTAAACTACCTACAAGGTTTTATAAATGAGAGAGTAGGAAGATTGCACAAGTAACAAAGGCCAAAAATAAAGGCCTAGTAGCATAATCAGAAAGCAAAGAAAGCAGAGGAAGAGAAAATACCTAACACATTACATAAAGCACAATGGGAACAAAAAAGTACCCCTTCTATTAAAAGCCCACAGTTTATTTCAGCACATATAACTCAGATGAAGTAGAAGACAAGATAGCACAGATCCACTAGAGAAAGTGAAAAGGCTGACATAAAGAATACCTATACAAGGGATATAGGCAAGACAGTGTGAGAAGAGTACAGAAAACATTCTTTAAGTTTTCTGTCTGGCAACTAATATCAGTGCTAGGAAAAACACATTTTAATTTCTTAACAAGCCATTATAAGATAGAAATTAAAAACAAAAATATATAAAAATAGAAGAGATTGTATTAAACATAACTTCAAATTGAAAACACTTAAGCTTTATAGCAAATTAAAGAAAGTTAAAATCAAGTGCTGTGGAAAGTTGGCCATCACCCTCGATCATTATCTAGGCTTTAATATTATGGCTTCTGAGTCCTGTAGCTTCTTGAAAACAGAATACAGACAGTAACAGTTAAGAGTTAAGCCTCTAAAAGTCTCATACCATCAAGTCCAAAATAAAATCCTTTCTTTTCCCACAGCCTTCTACTGTTATTCACATAATTATTTAATAAAAACATACCACTCCTTGACCTTTTTGCCAAGAGCTCTTTGCTTGGAAGTTTTAGCCCTTTAACACTGATTATTTTCTCCATGCCTTTGGTTGTTGGTTTGTCCAGTAAATGCATTTTAGGAGGAATAGTATCTTCGGTAGGGCCAAACCTGTATTCTCTGCTCCAAATGCTATTTACATGATTACCACGTCTGTCATTCCAGCCACAACTTCTCTGTTGCACAAGCTACAAAAAAATTAAAATCCAGAACATAGGTTTATAATCTTGCCTTCTACATATGATTTCTTGATTTAGTATACAAGGACATTTTAACATTTGTACTTCTAGCGACATACTTAACACAAGCCTTTTCTTTTTTGTTCCCACATTTCTCACACTTTTTATACGAATTCCTTTTTTTAGTGCTGACATGACTTCATTTCAATATGGAGCAAGTGATTAACTGCTCTTCTGAGACAAAATTGAAAATTTAAGTTTTATTTCTATTCAGAAAACATAATTTAGGATTATACTTGGAAAAAAACCAAATCTCTTTGAGAATTTTCTTTTTAAGTCACTTACTTCTGTCGATAATATTAAGGACTTACCAAAAAAGTCTGAAAGTAAAACTAAAAAAAACATTAAAGTCAAATATCATGAAAAATAAAACTTTATCTGCAAAAAAAGCAAAAAAATAGCGTGTGGAAGCATATGGTTTCTGTAATAACAGAATAGCTTTCACTGCCAATTCATTTGCAAATAACATTCAATCACATTTTTTCACAAATGTTCAGACCCACATGAAATTTTCAATATATAACTTCAGAACAAAGATGTTACCTGTGCAGTGTCAGGGTTATAATTATCAATTTGTTCCATTGTATTGATATCGATGTTGCCAATGGCAATTTGAAAAGCAGTATCATCACCAAAATGTCTGTTTCCATCATCGTAAAGGAAAATATCTGAATATTACATTACATTTCAAGAACTATAGAATGAAAGTTAGAATATCTGTTTCCCATTTTTATGCTAACAAGCATGGCTAGAATATTAACCTAAAGGATTAATAGCACTACTTTTGGCTCAATCTGATGCAACAGCAATTGTAATTCATGATTTGCCAAAGGACTGCAGATCTAAGTCAAAATTAAATCCTTCCATTATCAGCAGAAAATTTACCAACTTTCTCTTTTCTTATTTCTGGAAATGCCAGAGATTAAGTGGCTTGAACATATAAAGCTAGTAACTACTTCAACAGTATCCTCTCTTTCTTCATTTTCCTAATCTTTCATGCTGAAATTTATGTTGCCCAGATGTGGCAAAATGCTACTTGTTCTACAGGAAGAGATATCTGGTAAAATAGGAAATGCTTAGATTAGAGAACGAATTGAACACAAATTGCAAGAATTAAACAGGTAGAGATTATAACACACTTAAAATAGGCAGAAATTAAAGACAGTCATAAAGTAACTCAAACAGTTTAAATATAACCTGTATTTAACAACTGGTTTTCTAAAGAGAAAAAAAAGGATTAATAACTTCTGCCTAAAGTGATGTATCAATGATAGATCACTCAGTTACCCCCCGGCATGCTTTTTAAATTCATTAAAGTCAGAGCAAAGGAAAAAAGAAGAAAACCACTCCAAAATTTTAAGACTGCAGAAAAGCCAGGCTTTAGTAAACAGCAGGGGTGCAATGAAAAATCTAAGTACACCACTGATGCAATGAAAAGTATAAGACACCATATCTGCTCACCCTTATTTCCCCATTCTGCTGTTTCAACACAAAGGATACCGTCCTGCATAACTTAGTGTTTCTGGATCAATGTCATCCCCATATGCATTCAGAGGAACTAATTTTCTGTTGAGAGGATCAAAAACTAACTGATAAAGGAATGTATTATTGGCTCGTGTAAAACCCTGTATGTATTCTTCTGGTACTGTTATATTCATCTTCAAGTACTGCCCCATTTTCTTAATAACCTGTAACAAAAAGGAAATTGCTCAACTGCTTCATTTAAACAGTTCACACAAACAGTTAAATACATGTTGATTATTAAGTATCTTTGTTGCAATTTAACATAGAATGCGTGTCCTGTTACAACAAGAAGATTAAACTTAAACAAGGGAAGGAAAGAAAAAGAAATTTTGTTCATTATTTTCCCACTCAAGTTGTTTACAATCACATAAATAACACAATTCAACTCTTTATAAATGCTTCTTGTTCAATAAAGAAGTACAAAGTGTGATTAGAAATACAGAGCATCTCCTTAAGGTATAATATTTTAAACTAATGCATATCCGATTTTATTATTCATATTATCAGGACACATAAGCAATGCATGGGTGTTTCTAGAAGAGAAAAAAAGCAATACTAATCAGATTAAACCCTTATATTTTGCTCAGGGATACATGAAAGGAAATAATGATTTATATGGGAAAAGTTCAAAGTTCCCTTTTTACTTCCACAAAAGCCAAACCAGTTGCTTTGATGCCTGATTTACATGATAAAACCATTTTAAAAATAAAAATCATAGTTCTTTGTGTACAGCCTGTGAGAGAAAAAAAAAACCAAAATACACTAAAGCACACAAGTAACTTAAGAAAGAAGGTAACGCATTAAGTTAATTAGACTGCATATTTAAATGCTTCTCTGGTCAGATTTACCTGCCTTCAGGACAGACCCATAAGGTATTCTTCTTATTAGCTCTTAAAAACCCCTCTACTCCCTTACTACCTACACAGAAGTTATTCCCACTCTCTTAGACTCTGTATTTTCTAATACTAAATTTGCTTTCATTTCATACATCGGACAAGAAAAAAAAAAAACACTCAACCTTATTTTTTGCTTTGCACATTCCAAACTTTTCTTCCATACTGTTTTTAATATATAAATGTCCATATCCATACGCACGTAATCAAATAAGATTTCTAATCTCTGCCCCTCTCCCACACAGGTAATGGGGGGGGAAATGCAGAGCCTTACCAGAGAAAAAAGCAAAACCAAGTTTACCTTTATAATATCTGGATTGTTGGCTAATTTTAGTAACTTGCACGCTTTAGCTAACCCAATTCCATATATTGATGCAAGGTAGTCACAACCAGAAAGAATACACATGTAGCGGAATTTCTCTTCTGTAAACACATTTCCAAGCTGTTTGCAGTTTCCTAGTCGAGCTTGATCTATCTCTAGTCCATTTCCGAACTTGTCAATTTTCAGAAACACCTGAAAATTAAGAGGAAATGAAAACAACATTTTTCACCCATATAAGATAGTTCCCTGCCCTTGGTGGAAACGATAGAGGTAAAGTGCTATTCTCATCTCTTCTGTTTCCCACATTTACTGTAGAAGAGTAAATCCACAAAAACATATTTGGCAACTTCAAACTCTGCTTTTAAGATACCAGCAAGAGGTAAAAGCTGTTAGTATTTTCTTCCATACCTTTTTACATCCAAAAGCTAAAAGATCAGAGTCTTCTGTAATTATAGCTTGAACAATGCCAATCTTATTAAGATAAGCCAACTGAGCATCAGCTTCATAAGGAGCAACAATGCAATCAACTCCCCTGGCTCGTGCAGCCTGTACGTAAACAAGAAGCATACAAGTACTTTGCATCAATTTGCAGTAATTACCTTAAGAGATCTGAAAGCATAAGAACCTCTATGTTAAAAAGCCAAAACCATGATCTTTTTAATCACACACCCATCCTGCCCCATTAGAGCCTGATATTTTATATTCCAAACCTCAAGTTTCAAACAGTTTAGATCTATACAGACTAGTTTACAAAAACAGTCTTTCCTGTGTTGGCCTGTAACACCACGGTCGCTACATCTGACCACAGGTGCCAGCTTCAAGCTCATGCAAATTATATTCTGGACAGAGGAAAACACCAGCAGAATAAACTTGATACTGTTTTGATAAAGATCCTATGACTGCAGTGGAAGCATAGCAAAAAGCTACTAGAACAGTTTTTAGGCAGCCAATTTTTTTTCTGCAGTCTATGCTCAGAAACTAGCTGAGGGAAAAAGATAAAAAACTAATAATTGTGATTAGTTTTTGTGCATCAGAAGTAAAACTGAGGTGTTATCAAATTCAGCTCATAGCAGTAAGAAGAGATGTATTTCAATTGACACATCATTATTATTTCTACAACTGGGCATAATAAACTATAAGTGAAGTTAAAGTTTGTTAACTGTGCTTAACACAGTCCTGTAATATGTAGGACAACTAGAGACTGAGAAGGAAGGAGTGTTTTTCTTGCCTACATAGAAGAGGTAGTGATGTAGCCATAAAAATGCAGACTAAGACACGCTACCTACTGCATATTTTTTTAAAAAACTGGCATTATCAACAGTATTGACAACTTACTTTAATAACTTCATGAGCCATAGCATGGGTAACATTTACACTGCGCCCAAAACATTCCCTGGCTTCTGACAGTTTCCCTTCCTGCAACAATTGTTTCCCCTTCAGAAGACTGGCTTGACGCTTCCTAAAAGACAGACAAAAACATCCACCAATTTCAGATTATTTTTCACTTAAAAGAACAAACAGCAGAGAGGACTAAGAGAGGCAGGTGGCAAAGGGGGGTTAAAAATTGGAACACTACCCAAATCTGGTCTATTGAGTAATTTTTTTAAACATAAGAATAACTAAGTTATTGTATTGACAAGGATAACTAGGTCGGCATGTGGAAATTTATAGTATTTCCTCAGAAAACAGTGACTACCAGGAACTGAAATCAGCAGTGTGAAAGAAGAAATGCATCCACTCTCAGTTTGCAGTAAAACAGATTTAATGAATTTTGGGAGTATCTGCCACTGGATACTTACTGGTTTAGAGGACAGAAGGAATAATTTACTTAATTTCAAATATTAGAAACTGTTCACTCCACACTGAAGGGAGCATATGTCTCATGGGAATTTATAAACAACAACCACTAGTGAAAAATTCTCACAGCTTCAGTGAGAAGTTGCATTTCTAGTGACCTGAATCCAAACCTGATAAGAGTTTATCTTATTATAGAGAAAGATGAGGAACGTGGTATTAGTTTTAAATAAAATTATATTGGGAAGAAATATTTTTGTCCAGAGATCACAAGGGCAGGCAAACTAAAAGCCTCTAATACACTACAGGAACTAACGCTCAGAGGTTTACTTCCTTCCTCTTATCAAATGGCTTTCATTTACAAAGTGCATTTCTATTTTTGGAATAAAACCTCTAAGAAGTTTAATTTTAGATGTAAATTGAATGAAATCACACTACACTGCAGAGAAGTTTAACAGACCTTACAACCTAGCTGAAGTTTGAGGTTTTTTGACTTTGAAAATTAACTGTAGTGATAAACACACTGCCTTGCTTGCAAATCAATACAGTTCAGTACTTACTCTCGTCGGGCCTTTTCCACTTCCTTCTTAGAGGGTAGGGTGCATCCATCAAATACCAAAATTGGTTTAATTCCAAATGAAAGGAGCATCTCAACAAGTTTCATACAGAAAGCTACATAACTGTATTGACAATAACAAAAGTAAGAATAGAAAGATAAACTTTATTGTCAACCACAAGTCTATTGCATATTATCTGTCTGCAGAAAAGAACTGCAAGTTTAGGACAACTGTTCTTCAAGGATCTTAACAGGCTATATATTTCCCCAGCATCACAAAAAAGAATAAGAACACTTGAATGCTGTTTGGTTGGTTTTGGAGGGGTTTTTTATTAGAAAGAGAAACAGTCCACCTCCCAGCTCAGAACTGGACTGACTGCTCCTCTCTCCTACACAAAATTAAATAAGAACTCAAGTACAATTCAATTTGATTCTGCAACACTGGGATTCAACACTGACAAAAACTTGAAAAGTTAAAACATGGACTGTCTTTTTAGTTTCAGCAACTCAATTCGTAATGGCCAGGGAAACAGGAGGCAGACAAGCACAGTACATGATCTTTCCCCAGAAAGACAGACTAAAAGCACTTTTGTAGAGCTGAAAGTTATTAAATCTCTCTTTATAGAACTATCCACTCTACTCTCCAGACAGTGGATACATGCTATGGACAGACATACAATCCTATCTTCCCATACTAAAAATACAGGCACAGCACTGAAAATATTTCAAAAGTCAGAAAAGTTCCCCAGTCTGTACTAACTGTGAAGAGGCAATCCTCCACTGCCTTCCAAACCCATCCCCTGGAAAAATATTTGTTGGGAATTCCAGACTTTATTTATTCTCTCAGGCCTCTCATCTCCTTACCTGTTATTTCTACAGCTCTGTATAAGACCATTTTATATCAGCAGCACAGAACTAAAACATAATAGCTGCTGCAAACACTAAGTGCATTACAATGATGCCCAATGAAAAAAAAAAATCAAGTTTTTTTATTTTAAGGACACTGTAAGAGTAACCTTTTCAGCAGGGGAAGGGAGGGGAAGGAGAGTGGGACTTAGAAGCATTTAGAATGTAAGGATTAAAGACACTGAATTTAGAGCTACAGAAAAATAACTATGATTTTGAAAGACAAGCACTTTAGTTATATAATACAGATGAATTTTAAACTGTGAAAGGACGCTAAACTATAGTTTAAGTGCCAGTCTAGGATGATACGTGCATGGAAACAAGATTTGCTCATAAAATATTTATGTATTTAAATTCAACCATTCCAAAGTTTCCTATAACTATGAATGTTTCTCTTGACAGACAATTTTTTCCTCAACTGAAGTGTATCCCATTCTCAGGACTCTGAGAGACCTTCACAACCTTCAAAGGCAGGTAGCAGGGTTGGATGAAACTCCACAGTTGTTCAAATCAACAGAAGCAGGAGTAAAGATTTGAACCCATTTGCAAAGCATCGAGTCTCTCTTGCCTCCAATCAAACATTTGATGGAGCCAAAGTCTTCTCTTGGTGGTGCCAAGCAATAGGACAAGAGGCAACGAGCAGAAATCAAAACACAGGAATTCCTACTTGGATATAAGAAGAACTTATTTACTGTGCAAGTGACCAAGCACTGGAACAGGTTGCCCAGAGGAGTTGTAGAACTTCTTACTTCTCTGGAGATATTTAAAAGCCATCTGGACACAATTCTGAATAAGTGCTCTAGGGGACCGAGCATGAGGCTGGACCAGATGACATCCAGTAGTCTCTTCCAACCTTAACCATTTTGTGATTTAAAACTATATCCAATTTGAAATAAGAGTTCAACCCAATTTTCCAGAGATGGACAAGAACTTACACAAACCAAATCTAAGCTCCAGTTGAACCTGAAATATGACCACAATTTTTGTTCATTTCCCCTCCTTAGAAATATAACTGTGTAAATTAAAAATCCATGTTACATTAGAAAAGCTACTCTTACTAAAAATATAATACATTAAGCAAAAAAATCTTACACCTTATTCAGAGCACAACCCATCTCTCATAATTCCTCAGTATCATTACAACCTTTGTCATAGCAGTAATTACAAAGTATCATTGCACACAAAAAAGGTGCCTAAATTTGAAACACATGAATTGCATGTACAGAATCTCATCTGAGAAATTAGATTAGTATCTAGACATGCTAGAAAAAAACTAACTCTCACAGCCATTGGTATTTTAACCAAAAATAGTTTAGAGAGTTTTTTCCCCAAGGCATACTTGAATTTTTTTCGCACAGTTGAAAAACTATTTACTTATGGTCAAAATTTCCATTTAAAAGAGTACTGAGAATTCAGAAGCAACAGGAAGAAGCGAAGCTGTTATATACTTAGTTTTATTATTATAAACTATTAGTTAAGAAACATCGAGCTAACAAAACTTTAATTTGTAAGAAGGCCGAGACCGAAACATAACGAAGACTTACAGATCCGTGGGCTCTCCTCGGGCAAGCTTTTCAGCGCACGCATAAGCGCCTTTGTGCAGCCAGCAGTAGGTGTCCACAGCCACCGTCAGCCCTTTGTACTTCTTCACGTGGGAAGGCTCGGCAGCCTCCTTGATGAACTGGAGCAGGCCTTGGATCCCCATGGCGCCGCTTGAGCTGCAGAGTGGGGGGAAAGGAACCTGGCTCACGACACGTCGGGTCAGGTCAGATCTGACCTGGGCCGGGCCAGGGGCACAGGAGGCTTCTGCGGGTGCCCCCACAAAGCTCGGCTCGGGACCGCCTCGCACGCTCGGTGGCCCTGCCTCGGCGCGGGGCGGCACAGCCAGGGGAAGGGGGTGAGCGAAGGGAAGGGGGGACGCAGGGACACGACCAGCGGCCTCGGTCGGTCCCTGGCGGGGCGGCAGCGGCCCCTCCGGCCCAGCCGCCGCGCGCGACTGCCGCCCGGCACTTTCAAGAAGCGCGCGCTCAGGGCGGTGGCCCCGCCCCCGGCGCGCGGAGACTACGATCCCCAGCGTGCCCCGCGCGGGAGGGGGGGAGCCATTACGGCGCGAGCTCCGCCCCCCGTGGGCGGTGTCTGTGCGCTCCGGGAGGAGAGCGGAGTGTCCGGGATCTGCTTGGGAGTCGTGGCCGCGCTGACCCGAGAATCTGCGGATGGAAATTTGAGATAGGTGCCCAAGATGAGTACACTGAAGTACCTCTAGAACTGCTTCTTTATCAACACTGACTAAAGGGAGGAGATGGGATCGCTCTGTCTGATGAAAACAACTAACCTTTACACAGCCAAGTAAAGCAAACGTAGTCTTTCCTCTGCACTACAATGGACAAGGATATCTTACAGATTTTTACTAAACTTCCATACAGTGTCTGGTGGTGCTGCAATTGACTTCATGGGATAGATTAAAATACTCAGCATGAAAACCAGCACTTGTGCTGAAGCTCACAACTAGAGCATCAGCTATGGTGACATTAGTAGATCATGAGTCTCGTTTATACCAGTTTTTCCAAAATTTCAGGGAACTCCTCATTACTGCTAATATATTGTCTTAGCTGTTTAAAAATTTGATCAGTTTTATTTCACGAAGTTGATCTGGAAGTTTAGTTGGACTATTTAATCAATTTCTTAGAAAGGAAATTTGATTTTTCTCTGATAGGTAGCAGTATTACATTCACTGTACCCTTTATGTTTCCTTTATTGAAATTTCTATTTATGGACAATATGTTATCACAGCTTTTTCTAACTTATCTAAGAAGCCAGGCTTTACTACCATAAGTAAACTCGTGAACACACTCGTACACACATGAAAGAAGTCTAGAGGAAGACATCCTTAAAACCATATTTAGTAGCAGAGGAAATGTTTTTAAAAGCTCCTCATTTATCAGGAAAATGTTGTATCAATAGTGTTAATAAAGTTAATAAAAACCTGGTATATCGAGTTAATATTGCAACTACCATCTTCTTCAGTCATGCCAGGCCAAGAGCACAAGTTCTATGAGCAGCATCCCACTTACCAACTAATTCCCTTAAACTATTAATACCCCTGACAGGTACAGAAGAGAGAAGGAAACCCATATTAATTTCCTGCATCAGAATCCCAGGTAATCTCATTAGTCTGGTCACAGTTCTTATCTCTTCGCTACTGAATGAACACAGCTCTTAGATTCATTTTCCAGGGAAGAGATCTGGGAGGGTAATTCTGGTATCTTACTGCTCTCTGCCATCACAATGTGTTGCCAGTGTTTGGATTTGGTTGTCTGCTGATATATTAGCTATTCTGAGCTTACCTTTGGTGTGGCTGTGCTGCTTGTGGCAATTTTTTTTTGATCTCTAGAAACATATGTCAGTATAGAGAACAAAAGCATGGTAAGCTCTAGTGTACCAGTGCATATCTTTTTTCCCTTTTTGTGATCTTTCGTTTTGAAATATTACATCCGGGGGCAGATGAAACCACCATCCAGGTGGCTGCAGGGCTCAGCCTGGCCCCTAGAGACTTCTGGGACAAGAGGGAGGCTCAGCTGCAACCGAGTGCAATGAGCAGTTCAGTTTCACTTTTGAAGGTGCAGGGCAGGAGAAACTCTCCCTTTCTTTACAGGTAAATCTTCAAGCTAGTCCTGCAGTGATTACTACCAGTTTAAATTATTGTGGATTTTTTTTAACCTCACAATAACGTAAGTTTGCCTACAACAGAGGACTTGGAGCCTGTTACAGTTAATTTGTTCCTAATGCACATGGATCTCACCCTTGTGCTGAAGAAGATTAACAGGTAAATTTTCTAGCATATCCCTTCTAGCTGCAGGTGCTTCTGTGCTTCTCTGGGCACCAATCCTTTCAGTTCAAATTGTTTGAAAAGGTGTGATTTTTGCTATGGTGAAGTCCTGAACAGGAGTTCTACCCTGTATTACTGTGACTTAACATTTTTCCTCTGTGTCATGTGAAAGGTGAGAGTTCAGATTTTTGCTCATCAGTCCTGAACAGGAAAGATGAGAGCCTGGTGTCTGACAGTCTATCAGTGTCTCATAAGGAGACCCTTCATCAACAGATTCACAAGATCGGAGGGTACCTCGACCTCCCTTGTTAGGGGGAACTCAACAAAGCCAGGACCAGTCAGCGGGTCCTGCCAAGGTGTTACCCTCCGCTGGCAACTGCAAGGACTCACTTTAACAGTTTATGGAATAACACTTTTTATTAATACAAATTGTGACAGATTAATAAGCTTTGAAGGTTGTTGGTGATAGGGTCTACTGCAAAAATGTTTTAAAGCAATCTGCTGGTACATATATTAAGCAAGCACAAGCTCTGATAAGAAGCAATCTAATTAATATGCTATGGGGTAAGCACAAGCAACAGCTCTAGTCCTAAAAGCAGCATTTAAAGTGTGTAGAGCATATTTCTCACTCAAGGCATCCCTCTGGGAGAGGAGAAGATCCCAGCAGTTTTGGTAGAGGTCTTCTCCCACTTTCCCCCTACCCCCAACTTACTTTTATACTATTTTCTTTATATTTGAGTGGAGTTTGAGTGGCTCTAGTCATAAATACTTTTTATTTTTGATTGGTGTACCTAATGGGAGGAGGGTGGTGGTCATGGTTTGGCACCTGAGGAAGGGGTTTGACATGGTTGTTCGCTTCAGAAGCAGAACATCTTGATTCTCCCTCATCAGACAGGTACTGTACGGTCTTAGTATCACAACATTTTCCCATTCTGCTGGGATTAGAATGGAGGGGGGCCACGTAGTCTCCATTCTGTTTCTCTGAGCAGATGTTTATTGTGTTCTGGGGAGCATGTTGACCTCCGTCCATCCAGGTAGTTACAGCTACTTTTTACCTTAAAATTCTGAATCCACTCTAGGTTTAACTCTGTCCATCAGCCCACACTCTGCATCCCCTGTATGTTGTCCAGAAAACTCTTTAAACCAATATGGGGTCACTGAGTTCCTCCAGACTCTCCAAGTCTGTCCAGAGCTTGAGCTGTGTCAAGGTGACTTTTTTCCATTTTGGAAAATTTTACAGAGCTCTCTCCCCATATATCTTTAAGGCATGATCTAGTAGCATTAACAGCTCGATTCAATCATTAACAAGAAATTGCAAAAGGACAAGCAAACTGATGCAGATGACCACAAACAGTTTGGCAGATGGTGGGAAAGGAACAGCTGTGTCATCATATTTTAAGCAAGAGCCTGAGACAAAGGAAAGCTGAGTCCTGGGGCAGGGGAGCAGCTCCTGGGAGTCATTGCTGTTAATTTATTTGACTTGGTGCTGGACCCCACTGCACCTGAGGTAAGCTATTCCTAGACTTTATATGTGCAATCCTTTTCTGAGAAAAAGGATTTTGACAGTATTCCTTTCCTCAATATTTCTGGTAATGCGAACTGTGAACTAGCAAGTCTGTCTCTCAGGGAAGTCTAGGGAAGTGTGAACTATACAAGACCTTGGGTAAAGTCTTGTTTTAAGCTAGAATCTTGTTTTAGCTCAAGTAAAAGGACCTTTTAACTGAAGTGTTAAAATGAAACCAAAAAATCTTTTGATCATGCCCTGCAGGAAACTGTAGGTTAGATTCTTGGAAATCTGATTCCAGCTCAGACTTTTATGGGAGTTTCAGCCCAGAAAGAAGAGGGGAAGATAGATGTTTACTTTTCAGGTACAGGCTCCTCAGAGGGGACCAGCTCAGTGGGCAGCAGAGGTTATCTCTGAAAAGCCAGTAGCATTCCTCACATCAGGAAACAAATATTTTGCTGCATTATTTGTGTGAAATTGCCCTCTCTCTTTCCTAGAGTAGGTGGCGGACGCGAGGGTGCTTCCACACTGCACCCTGCCCTCTCAGTATTACTGGCTGCTGTCATACATGCTCTCAGGTAGGTGTTGTGGATAGAGTCTTGCAGATCTTCTTTCTTTCTCCTTTGTCTGCTTCTCTTATCCTCTGCATTTCTATAGGTGATGTAATGATAGGGGCAGGACAGACAACAGGGCACCCTGACTCAGATGATGTGATGCAAATGCATGTGTCTATATACTCCTCATCTGGCCTATACTGAGGGTTTTTTTTATTAATGGAAGGGAAAAGTATCCTTTTTTATTCTGCTTTTTACTGATTTTACTGATTCATATTACATCCATCCAACACAGTTACACTGATCTTTCTAGAGATGTCATGCCTTCAAACCAGAAAGACCTGTCAGCATCTTGTCGAATTCCAGCTTTCCAAAAAATGATAAAGTTATTGAGGGCTTAAAAATATCTTATGTCCCTTGAGGAGGACGGAGACTTGCAAACTAAAGAGAACACAGTCACTACTTAAAGAACTCACTGCTACCTATCTATAGAAGTCTCAAAATAACTCAGCCTGGAGTTCAGTTAGAGACAGAGCTTGGTAGCTCTCAATTTTTATCTGTCTCCTTATTTTACAGAAGCCTAATGCTGACATAGCTTCTAGTTTATACGTTGATAATGGAAAGATATTTCCCGTGGGTCAATGAAATAGAGATGTTTTATCAAATTTTGCCAGAATTTTCTTACATTTCAGAGGTGAAAATAGAGTGGCTTTGGTGGGAAAAAAATTATTTCCAATATTTTGCTGGGATTTACTAATTCTCTGGAATCAGATCGGATGATCAAATATTGGTTGTGCTTTCTGGGGAAATGAGGGAGGCCCAGTAACCAACTATTTCCCTTTCATCAGTTACATCTAGCCATAATAAATGCCCTCTTAATTTCTGTTTCTCATATAGGTTTTCTTCTTTGTGCTACACGTAATAAAATTACAATAGTTTAATCAGTAACTAATAAATCCAGCAGCAGCTGAACAGTCTCTCATGTGTTCCCTAAGGTGATCTATAATCTTTTTGCTTTTTTATAGGTACTGATATATTCCACATTCCTGAGTCTTCCAGCAGCAAATGAAAAATATGTATCTCTTCCTCCTTTCCATTTTATCTTTGCTTTTGAAAGTCAGTGGCACCAAAGATGTTGTATTTGGTCATAATAATTTCACAGAATATCAAGTGGGCAACATGAACCTGATTCTCTCTGTCCCACATGGTGGGTCAATGGAACCTGAAGACATCCCTGATCGAGAGGCTGGCTGTTGGGATGCAAAATTATCCTCCTGTATTTTCTCTCATGACTGTCCTCCTGGAAGTATTCAAAATTATGAGAAATGCAAAGTGTCTACCAACCAAGACAGGTATACTATAGAGGTGGCTCAGACTCTTGCTGAAGAAATCAACAATATTACTGATGGCTTCTTCCCACATATCATTATAAACCACCTACAGAGGTTCAAGATGGATGCTAACAGGGAAAAGGAAGAAGCCTCCTTTGGAATTCCCCAAGCAGAACAGGCCTGGGAGGACTATATGGGATTTTTGACCACTGCAAAATCACAGATGTCAGGGGGCCTGATTCTAGATATCCATGGACAAGCTCATCCTGAAAGGTGGATAGAACTAGGTTACACACTTTCAAAATCTTCCCTTAACTCAGGTGTTTTTTCTGCATCATGTTCCTCAATTAGCCATCTGTCCAATCAGCTAGTCAATGTGTCTTCTGAGACTTTGGTTTCAGGGAACAGAAGTTTGGGTAAATATATTGAAGAACAAAATAACAATTATGTTTGTGTGCCATCTCCATCCAATCCTAGCCCAAATAATGGGAGCTATTATAGTGGTGGATACATAACAAAGACTTTTGGTTCCCGTAGTTCTGGCACCATTGATGCCATTCAGCTTGAGCTACCCCAGTGGGTGAGGGCAGCTGAAGAACGTCCCAGATTTTGTAAAGCACTGGCAAGGGCTGTAATGAAATTCTGGCAAACTAACTACTGCAGCCAGTACAAGAATGAATTTCTGCCGTGCTGAAAGAGGTTGTGTTGTTAAGGTACCTTTCCTTAATTCAGTAATGATTTGGATTAACAGATCAACTCATTCACCTGGAACATTTAAGCCTGCAATATAATTGTGGATGCTGGTGGAAAGAAACTAACCTGCAAAGGAATACAGAGACACTGACATAGAGAAAATCCACAGCTAATACCATCAAGTCCATTAACACACAGCTTTGTACTAGATCCAGCATTGAAAAGACTGCTATAAGTGGGTATATTTGGAAGTATTTCTGTGTTTAATTTCTTTCCAGTGTCATCCTCTATTCTCTAGCACATAATAAACAACTAATCCTCTAATGAATTCTGTGCAGTGCTTTAGTGAATTATCTGTTCAAATAAATAAATGCCTCTGCTTTTCTTTTGACACTTAAGAAAGACAGCTGGATAATATTATTGTGTAAAATATTTGAGGCCAGGATTGGTTTCCATTTGGTGTTTATAAAGCCCTAGGAATTGGAACTCAAGTAAACAGTAATGCTGAGCAACGACAGGCAGTCTGAACTACTCAGGTTTTGTTAGTTTAATGAATTAGGGAAAAAAAATCTGATAATACAGCACTGTAAATTTGTCACAGTTTAAATAGCAAGGTAGTGACTGGATGGAAGGCTGATAAAGATAGCACATACACATCATGCATTTTTGACAGTTTTCCTTACAGCACAATTCCCTCCTGATAGCCGGTCCATTGATTGAAATCAGCATAGGATTAAACACTTGATTGTTACTGGGAATAGTACTACATCATGGATGGGTTTTTCTGCACAGTGGAGAATATAGAGGCATGAATAGCCATGAGTACAATCAGCTCTTGAAAAACACAGGCAATTGATAAGGAAAACCAAAGGGAGCAGAAAGCAAGACTGAAAAGAGTAACGTTTGAAAATTAAGAATCTGTGAAATCGTAGCAGTGCTAAAAGTTTGGTAAAAAGAAAACAATAAGTAAATAGTTCTGAGAAATAAATAGTCAATTAATAAACTGAAAAGAAGTGGGAGATCTGCACCTTGCAACCACAGTAAAATAGTTTAGGTCTAACTATTAATAGGGACAATATCAAAGAGAAATTATTGCACAGTGATAAAACATAACACAAAAGAGCATCAAAAGAAATGGGTAAGGAGCTCTCTGAACCTGACCTATTCATTTTTATTCTTTGAAGACTAGGAAATTTTCAGGTAACAGGAAGAGAGCTGATGTTGCTGTGTTTCAAAGGGAAATAGGACTCAGAATTCCAGGAATGTTACCTTTCATACACTAACTGCCAAATCAGGGAACATAAATAGTAAATGGAAGATTACACTTTATCTGGTGCCACTTGGTTTGTCAGACAAGGCTGATTTTAGTTTTAATCACAATGTTAGTTAATGGGGTGGGCTGACCCTGGCAGACACCAAGTACTTTCCCAGTTGCTTGCATGCTTCCTTACTTCTTCCAGTAGGACGGGGGAAGAGATTTGGAAAAGCAAAAGCGAGAAAACTCATAGGCCACAGTGAAGGCAGTTTAATAGGTGAAGCAAAGCTGCATGTCTGAGCAAGGCAAACTAAGGAATTCAACCACTACTTCCCATCAGCAGGCAGATGTTTAGCCACTTCCTGGGAAGCAGGGCCTTAGCATGCCTAATGAATGGTTACTTGGGAAGACAAACACATCTTGGTTTCCTCCTCCATTCCGTGAGCTCTTATTGCTAAGCAGGATGTTATATGGTATGGAATAGTTCTGGTCAGTTTAGGTCAGCTGTCCCAGCTATGTCCCTTCCCAGCTTATTGTGCATCCCCAGCCTACTCACTGGGTGTGGGAAAAAAGCACCTTGTTGCTGTGCAGGCATTGCTCAGCGATAGCCAAAACACCGGTCTGTTATCAACACTATTTTAGTCACAAATCCAGGACACAGCACCATACAGGCTGCTATGAAGAAAATTACATTCATCCCAGCCAGACCTAGTACTGCTGATCACAATAAGTTTAAATATACTCCCACAAGGTATTTTGCTAAAGAAAAAATGCAGTTACTCCTAAATCTGTCATAGCCCTATAACAAGTTGGAGGCAGGTAAAACATTGCAAATCATCGTATATTCAGCTCATGAGAAGAATGTCTTTTCAAGAAAGCCAGCAGATCAAACACCATTCAATGCCAGTGATATAGAAAACCTGCTATTTTCCTCAAAATAGTAGGTAACAATGGCACTATTTATATGGATTAATTACTCACTAAGGTGACACACTAGGCAAGGAGTGGTACCTTTAGCGAAAGGACAATAGAATATGTATTCTGTGTTTGTATTCATGTCGTGACACTGTCCTGGAATGCTGAAATGCCAGGAAGGATTGTGGAATCATGATGGATAATTAATTGAATATGAGCTCAGCAGGCACACTTCTGGCTTAGAGGATGAACATGTTCTTTGAAAGCATAAGCAAGGAACTAACAGGCAGAAACAGCAGGGTGTATTAACTCTTCTTTTGAGTATATTATTCTTGTAGGATTATGAGTAAAAAATGGATTTCTAAGGCAGAAACTTAGCAAAAAGATAACCACTGTGATGAAAAGTCTAAAAAGAGATAAAAAGTCTACAGAAATTTGCCTTATAGTGAGAGACTTGCAAAGCTCAAACTACTGGTAACTTTGCTACCAAAAGTAATTGGGAGGCTCATAGAACCTGAGTAAAGGAGAATACTGTGTTTTGCTTTTGCCTTCAAGCTCACACAGTTGGAAATGTGATTTCTATGTATCACACTCCCCGGATTTTCTGTTTCATAGGGCTTTTGGAGGGAACAGAACCAGAGGCTTGTGGAGCATCTGCAAGGATACTGGAGCCAGAGCCATGCAGAACCTATTGGAGCTGACAGGGCTTGTTAGTTCAGACTGGCACATCAGTATAACACACTGCTTCCAGGCCTGTAACTGACTCCTGAAGATGCAATGCACTTCCCCTCAGCTAAATGCCCAGGCCGCTCCTTACTCTCATCTCAGACAAGTTGATTGGATCATGGAGAGCAGACATTGACTTCATCTCTGGAAGTGTTCAGGACCAGGCTGGATGAGGCTTTAGGGAACTTCTTCCACGTCTAGTGGAAGGTGTCCCTCACCATGGCAGGGGGGTTGGAATTAGATGGTTTTTAAGGCCCCCTCCACCCCTGTATTGGGTCTGGCTGAGCTGGAGCTCATTTCCCCTCAGTAGCCCTCACAGTGCTGTGCTTTGAATTGGCAGCTAGAAGGGTGATGACAACACGTCAGTGTTTTGGCTACTGCTGAGCACAGCATCAGCACTGTAATATTCCTTCCTCAGTTGAGGGCAAGATCCTGGGAGGAGACCCAAGTAGGCCAGCTGACCCAAACTGACCAAAGGGATATTCCATACCATATGACGTCAGCTCAGATATAAAAGCTAAGGCAAGGAGCAGGAAGGTGAGCATTCATTGTCTCCAATGGCTGCCTGCTGAGAAACCATCACATGTGCTGAAGCCCTGCTTCTCAGGAGTGGCAGATCATCACTGCTCATGGGAGGCAGAGAATAAACCTTGCTATCTTTCACTTTGCTTCACTTTTGCATGCGCAAGCTTCTGCTTTGCTTTTTACTTTAAATAAACTGCCTTATCGCAACCCACGAGTTGTTTTTTCCACCTTACTCTCTCCCCTGTCTGGCTGGAAGGGGAGTGATAGAGTGGTCGGGTGGGCACCTGGCATCCAGCCAAGGTCAACCCACCACAACCCCAAACCATTCTGTGATTCTTTGATAAAGAATAGTCTCTGGAAAGGATTTTTGATGGCTGATGAAGCTTAATCTAGCAGAAAAAAACTCAGTATGATATTCAATGTACAGAAGTTCAAACTGGACAAATTGAAGCAGGGAGGAAACCAGCAGTTTTGACATGGAGAATAACTGGGAGCAAATGTATGTTAAGATCCTTCAGCTGGAAACCAAAATTGAAACACAAACAGGCATTTGGCCACAGAAGGTAGTCTTGGTTTCTCTGCCTTCTGTCACCCAAAAGGTGACAGATCATACAGCCGATCGCCTTTGGCACTAAAATTCACACATCTTTCTGTCAGTGTAAACCCAATTTTATTTATTCCTGATAATTGAAGTTCCTGAAATATCTTCCCTAAGGAAGCAGATATCTTATCTGAGATCTCAAGCAAGAGCATTTTCTTTTATATAATAAATACTACACTGGTGCTGATTAAGATCTTTGTTTCAGGGCCATAATGAATTCTTAGATGTTCAATGGGCTATCCACTGATTTCAATGGGAATGATTTTTACCTAAACCCAAGATCCCTTCCGCTTTTACCATGTGCTTTCCCAAGCAGAATACCAGCTCATTGGGCAGCCCAGGATGAAAGATGCTGCAATATGATGCTCTTAATACCCATGCTAGTTAAAGCTTTGGACTCTGTTTAGATGAAAATAGAGACTAAAGCACAAGAAGAATGAAGCTTTCTGACATTACTGTGCTATGAAAGAAGGGAGAAACCTAAGAAAGCAATAGCTTTCTTAAATGTCGTTGAGAATATGTTTCCAACATTTGCCAGTTCTCATGCTATCTAAAGGCACAGGTTTAAATAAGGGATTCAGGGTCCAATCATAAAAATTGGTAAGATATTAAGTAGGTTTTAGCACATTTAATTAATTCAAAATCCACCAGAATGACACTGTTACTAGTCTTTCATTAAGTAAATACCCACTGGCAACTGCTGAAAAGGAGTATGCTTTCTGATCATCATAAAATATGCTGAGCAACTTTTAAAAATTTTGAAATTTCTTACAACAGTTAGGTGTAAGCAGTTCACATTGAATTACAGTAACGATAAAATAATGCTATTAAACTTTCATCCTTATTACACCCTGAATACACAGACCTTCCTTTAAACATATCTATCATGCCCTAGGCTTGGTATGTATTATATAATAATAAAATGGCGAAAATAACTGGGGTCAATTGAGTTGATTTATAGTGTTTCTTACTATTTTAAATCTGCATTGCTGAGATTTAAATTAGTTCCACGAGGGATCGGGATTTCTCCCATAAACCTGAACTGACAGGCAGTAAGCTGACCAGAAAAACTAATTTTAAAAAAATCTTATCTAAATAGATTTTTCTTACTATTACATGTTAGTGCATTTCTAACACAGCATAAACCCAAAGGAATCTGAGCAGCTGAAAGTGAACTTTTTGGTTAATATGGCCATTTCATGCTGCTAACAATTCTGGTCAAGGCATGTTCTGAACAAACAAAATATCGGCACTAAAAGGTATTAAAATAATA